GTTCTCTGCCTGGGGCTCACAACAGTTTAGTCTGCCGAGCGCTGGCTAAAGTGGAACTAAAGTCATTGGGCTCAGGGCATTTTTCTGGGTGACAATGGCCTGGACTTTACAGGAGCTCAGACAAGATGACCTAATGATCCTTTCTGGCCTGAAATGACATACTCCTCATTGGCCCGAGGGTGTCTCAGAAGGACAGGGACCCTGGGGGGACGGGGGGGGGCTGTCACTGAGACCTCCCCATCCCTCATCCGTTTGCCAGCGCCCCGAGCAGCTCATTCCGGGCAGCTACGTGGCTGATTCTTCTCTAAAGATGCTCGCAGCTTGGGAGGGAGTGTGCCAGGCTGTGGGTGGGTGAATCCTGCTGGTAGGGTCTGGGTCAACTCTATGCCCTGGCAGAGGCAGGGGTAGGGGAGGATCCATCCGTAATCTCGTCCTCAGGGAGGGAATCTGTGGGCCGGGGGAAGATCAGACCCTGGGGGGTTTATGTGATGGGATCGGGTCAGGGGCAGCATAGGTCACCCGTCCGTTTGAGCGCTGGTTACCGCCCCGAGGCCGGGCACGCCGGCTGGCGGCAAAGGCCTCGCTTGCATCTGCGTTGCCTTGTAGCCGTGCTTGACGTCCGCCCATGTGGCTTTTTCTTTTTCTTCTCCTCCTCCCTCCGTCTCTGCCCTTCTTCCTTGCGCTGGGATTCTCTTGCTTTCACCCTGCCCTCTTCTCCCCCACCCCCCCTTTCTTCCCCCAGCCATGCAGCAGGTGCTGGACAACCTGAGCGACCTGCCCAACTCCACCGGGGCGGCCGACCTGGATCTCATCTTCCTCCGCGGCATCATGGAGAGTCCAATAGTAAGATCCTTGGCTAAGGTACAGTCGCATGGGGTGGCCGGGGAAGGGGCAGCGGCTGAGTTTGAACCTGCTTTTCCGGATCGAGTGCAGCATCCCCTGTCCCCATCTTCCTGCCGCAGGCACCTCTGGTACAAAGTCGTCCCTGGTGTTCCCTGCCTGGCACCCCCATTTCCGTGGCTGGGCTGGGGTAGCTGCTACCAGGGCAGGCTCTTCTGGGTGTGGCTGGGAATGTGGGAGCAGCTGATGTCTGGCCTGGCCCCAGCTCTAGTTTTACTGCCCCCGCACTGGTATAGAGGGTCACCACCTCTGTGTCCGTGGGCTGCAGCTGGGCTCCCCCAGGTCCCTTGCCCAATCTCAAAGTGCACAGGTCTGGAGCCGGGGGTCATGAGCGTAGGTGCGTGTGCAAGGCGTGTGCGCACGTGTGGCGTGTCAGCGTACGAGTTGATTGGGTGGGGGTGACGTGTGTGTAACTGGGAGAAGGTGGGTGGGATACTCTGGGAGTAGGGGTGTGTGTGTGTGTGCCGACTGGTTACACTTTGGTGCATGCTAGTTACATGGGTGGGTGGGTGTGCGCTCATGCCTGCCTGTACGTTGGCTCCTGTGTGTGTGTGTGTGTACGTGTGTATGCACATGGGTGCCCGCCTGTATGCTGGCTCCAGCCTGTGTGTTTGTGCACGCGCCTGTGTGCTGGCTCCAGTGTGTGGGTGTGAGTCTGTGTGTGACAATATTATTTTTAGTACCCGTCTGTGCATCGCTCCCCTGGGTGCCCAGGCAGCAACCTCCCACCCTGCCAGCCCCCGTCACTGGCACCGGCAGAGCGGGAGAGGACAGGCACCAATTCAAGCAGGCTAAAGATGGGCTGGATTGCCAGGCTGCTCCCGGGCTTGGGCTGCCAGGGTCCCGCTGGGGGCTGGGTGCCGAGCCTGGCAGGGGGCTGGCGATGCAGTGCCGGAGGCACACGCCCAGGGGGCTTGGGGGCACTCAGGAGAGGGAGATTTCTGCTCCCTAGAACCGTCCCCCCCGAACTCTTCTCTCACCATTCCTCTGTCCAGACCACCCCCTGCTCTCCCGGAGGGCTAGTGTCTGGAGGAGGTGTGTGCGCCTGCCTGGATGCTGGCTTGTGTGTGTGTGTGTGTGCATACCCGCACTCTGTGTGTGTGTGTGTGTGTCCGCGTGTGCCTGCCTGGATGCTGGCTTGAGTGTGTGTGTGTGTGTGTGTGTGTGTGTCCGCATGTGCCTGCCTGGATGCTGGCTTGTGTGTGTGTGCATGCATATCGGCACTGTGTGTGTGTGTGTGTGTGTGTTTGCCCGTGTGTGCCTGTCTGGATGCTGGCTTGAGTGTGTGTGTGTGTGTGTGTGCATACCAGCACTCTGTGGTGTGTGTGTGTGCGTGCATAACAGCACTCTGTGTGTGTGTGTGTATGTGTGCATACCAGCACTGTGTGTGTGTGCATGCATACCAGCACTCTGTGTGTGTGGGTGTGTGTGCATACCAGCACTCTGTGTGTGTGTGCATGCATACCAGCACTGTGTGTGTGTGCATGCATACCAGCACTCTGTGTGTGTGGGTGTGTGTGCATACCAGCACTCTGTGTGTGTGTGCATGCGTACCAGCACTCTGTGTGTGTGTGTGTGCATGCATACCAGCACTCTGTGTGTGTGTGTGTG